GTTAGATACAGAGTAAAGCTCCCTCTACACTGTCCCCATCAAACACTGCCAGTACAGGGACAGCACAGGGTTAGATACAGAGTAAAGCTCCCTCTACACTGTCCCCCCATCAAACACTCACAGGAGAGGGACAGCACAGGGTTAGATACAATGGACTATCCCCCATTTCTACAGCCGTTGATTGATCATGATGTGGAGGTGCCGGTGTTGGACTGGGGTACATAAAGTCAGAAATCACACGACACCAGGTTATACTCCAACAGGTTTATTTAAAAACACAAGCTTTCGGAGCGCTGCTCCTTTGTTGGGGACACCTGTTGGGCTATCGCCTGTTGCTTGTTCAGTTTGAGACGATGTGGTAACGTAGCTATTTTGTTGTGTCCTCCTTTACAGAGGGTCCATGTGACGGCTGCCTCAGTCTCAGACTCACCGCTTGTGGTTCCTGTTCTTCGGTACCTTGTCTTGTTCACCGGGGTAAGGTCCTCAACGATTGGCTGCTCCCTCACAAAGCCCAGACAGGCCTGAAGCGTCCAATCACATGGTCATGTGTGCAACATGTGTCACAAAGGAGCTTTACTCTGTATCTAACCCCGTGCTGTCCCTCTCCTGGGAGTGTTTGATGGGGACAGTGTAGAGAGAGCTTTACTCTGTATATAACCCCGTGCTGTCCCTGTCCTGGGAGTGTTTGATGGGGGACAGTGTAAAGAAAGCTTTACTCTGTATATAACCCCGTGCTGTCCCTGTCCTGGGAGTGTTTGATGGGGACAGTGTAGAGGGAGCTTTACTCTGTATCTAACCCCATGCTGTCCCTGTCCTGGGAGTGTTTGATGGGGACAGTGTTAAGAAAGCTTTACTCTGTATATAACCCCGTGCTGTCCCTGTCCTGGGAGCGTTTGATGAGGGACAGTGTAGAGGGAGCTTTACGCTGTATCTAACCCAGAATTGTTCCTGTCCTGGGAGTGTTTGATGGGGGACAGTGTAGAGGGAGCTTTACTCTGTATCTAACCCTGTGCTGTCCCCGTACTGGGAGTGTTTGATGGGGACAGTGTAGAGAGAGCTTTACTCTGTATCTAACCCCGTTATGTCCCTGTCCTGGGAGCGTTTCATGGGGACAGTGTAGAGAGAGCTTTACTCTGTATCTAACCCCGTGCTGTCCCTGTCCTGGGAGCGTTTCATGGGGACAGTGTAGAGAGAGCTTTACTCTGTATCTAACCTGTTCTCTGGCCCTGCCCTAGGAGTGTTTGATGGGGACAGTGTAGAGAGAGCTTTACTCTGTATCTAACCGCATGCTGACCCTGTCCTGGGAGTGTTTGATAAGGGACCGCGTAGAGAGAGCTTTACTCTGCATCTAACCCCATGCTATCCCCGTCCTGAGAGTATTTTATTGGGGACAGAGTAGGGAGAACTTTAGTTTCAGTTTAAAAGGGTAGAGGGAGATTTACTTAAAAATTTAAAACAGTGGTGTAGAAGGTAAAAGATCCCACAAATATTGGACAGAGAATAAGAGAGCTCTTCACAGTGCCTTAGCCAAATGTTTATGCCTCAATCAAAATCACAAAGTCTTTGTGGGATCTCACTGTGCATGCATATTGTTGCCATTTTGCCCACAAATACAAGCGTGTCTGGACTTCCAAAGCGTTTCGTTGACTGTAAAAGATTTGTAGATCCTGCTGATGATATAGGTGCTATATAAACAGAAGTCTGTGCTGACTAATCATGGCAGTGCAGGGGTAAAGTTATTTTAAGTTGGGATGGGGATGGGTGTGAGGTGTTGGGGGTAGTCTGGAACATGGGGGTGGGGGTTACAAACATGGAATTGAGTGCCAGACCTTTCAGGGGTGTTGCCAGATGCTGGTCCACACCTGAAGGGAATTGGCAATTTCCCACATCCCCCCCAGACACTAGGACAATTGCTGGGCTTTGTTGGAGTTTAAAAATTGAGATTGGATTTTGTCATAAGAATGGAGCCTTGTCAAACTCAAGCTCAATAGAGTTAAGTCACAGATCAGCTATGGTGTAATGGGAGAACAGGCTTAGAAAAGGGCTGAATGGCCTCTTTCCACATATTTGTAGGTAGCTACAAGCATCACAAGACACAAGCAATCTCCTTGTTGTCCATCTGACCCAGTTTTTGATGAGATTCTCTCCTCCATCACTTGCATATCTGCATCCAATGCGTTCCATGTTGGATCTAACCGTGCTTAACATAATAGTCAAAATATAAAGGAAGCCAAGTTTCTGAATGAACTTTGACCTTGATCGTTGGCATGTGCTCATGTGATCCTTGGTCCAGTTAATCTCCCTGCCACCTTCTGCGACGTTGCAGGTGGGTTGGTTCCATTAACAGAGCATGTATCACACTGACCGGTTGGGGACCAACCCTTGGCTTGGGCAGCTCTCAAAAGAAGATTGCTAAGGCCTGGCCTAGGGAAGCTCAGACCAGGCGATCTCTTCTACCTTGGCATCACCATCCAAACTCCGGAAATAAAGAGAGGCAACTCCTCAGATACTGAAGTAATATTATCAAATGCAACAAGATCTGGACAATATCCAGGCTTGGGCTAACAAGTGGCAAGTAACATTTGCGTCACACAAACGCCAGGCTACGACCATCACCAACAAGAGAGAATCTAACCCCCACTCCTTGACATTCAAGGGGGTTACCATCACTGAAGCACCCACTATCAACATCCTGAAAGGTACCATAGACCAGAAACTCAACTGGACTCAACTCATAAACACAGTGGCTATAAGAGCAGGTCAGAGGCTGGGAATCCTGTGGCAAGTAACTCACCTCCTGACTCCCCAAAGCCTGTCCACCATCGACAAGGCACAAGTCAGGAGTGTGAGGGAATACTCCCCACTTGCCCTGGATGAGGGCAGCCCCAACAACACTCAAGAAGCTCGACACCATCCAGGACAAAGCAGTCCCCGCTTGATTGGCACCACATTCACAAACATCCCACTCCCTCCACCACCGACACTCAGTAGCAGCAGTGTGTACCATCTACAAGATCCACTGCAGAGATTCACCAGAGATCCTCAGACAACACCTTCCAAACCCACTGCCACTTCCATCTAGAAGGACAAGGGACAGCAGATACAAGGGAACACCACCCCCTGTAAGTTCCCCTCTGAGCCCCTCACCATCCTGACTTGATATTGCTGTTCCTTTAGAACTGCCAGGTCAAAATCCTGGAACTGGCAGAATCGAAACATTGTGAGTTCAAGACCCACCACAGAGTCTTGGACACTTTCTCAATCCCACGTCTCGTGCTGCAGTACTGAGGGAGGTGCTGCACTGTCAAAGGTGGAATCATTCAGATGAGACCTTAAAGTAGGGCTGTCTCTGCCCTCTTAGTTAAACATAGAAGGTTTGTTTTACAAGAACAGCCAGGAATTTATCCTTGGCGGCCTAGCCAATATTTATTCCTCAGCCAGCATCACTGAAAAAACAGATGATCTGGGGTCGTCATCACATTACTGTTTGTGGCAGCTTCCTGTGCACAAATGTAGCTGCTACATTACAACTACTCTTCAAATTGTATGTCATTGACTGTGAAAGGCTTTGGAACATCCTGTATTTCTGAAAGAAGTAAGACTGTTTAGTGTTGAGTATCTAATTTAACTCATTGGTGTTTTTCCAAAATGGCGTTAACCTTGTCCAAATCTCAATGTTTTCTTTCAGGCCCCTAGGTCAATGGGAGTGATGAAAGGACTCTTCCTCCTGTGGATGGTGGGATGCAGACTCACGGCACCTCCGTGCTGCCCAGTGGTACCTCCCTGAGATCCCATCGTGCCTCTGTCATTGACCCACTCGGAAACAGAAGGCACCACTGCATCAGCGGGGGTGGGGGGGTGGGGGAGAGCATTGTCTGTGGAAGGGGTTGGGGGAAGGTAAGAAACGCAGAGCATGTTCCTGAGACAGCCAACCGAGAGCCCAAACTGAGGCCTTTTGGATCTGAAGAAAAGAGTCATTGACAACCCCATCTCCATGGCTGCACTTCCTGAAGACGAAAGCCAATGGGATTTCATTTGAGTCGACTGAGGTGTGCAACATGACCGTCACCCGCACCAGAGGCCTGGGCAGTCGTGTGGTGACAACATCAGAGGGTGAGAAATGGACATAAGAACTGGGAGCAGGAGTAGGCTTTCGGCCCCTCGACCCTGCTCCCAACGCCATTTGACGCTGACCATGACTGATCTCATCTCGGCCTCCAACCCACTTTCCTGCCAGTTCCCCAGAAATAGGAACGTGGCATGATGGTGGTGGGACAACTACCATCCTCTGATACCTTTCTGGAAGGTACAACATGACCAACCCCCTCCTCCTTCCCCAACCGCACGTCAACATCCGCAGGGGGATCCTGGAGACGATAGAAGCTCTGTCTTTCACGACGAAGAAACGGGAAAAAAACCATGTGTACCTCAGCGCCTCCAATACACACACACTCATACAAACTCACACACACACGCACACACACACACACGTGCGCACACACACACATACAGACACACACACACGCACACACGCACAAACTCACACACACACACAAACGCACAAACTCACACGCACACACGCGCGCGTGCGCACACACACGCACAAACTCACACACACACACACGCACACACACACACTCACACACACACACACACAAACTCACACACACACACACACACACTCTCACACACACACTTGTGCATCGTAGAGTATGATGGCAGAGTGGTTACATACTGGATCTGCATCGAGAGGCCTGCACTGCTATGAGCTCGAGTCCCACCCTGAGAAAAATATAGTTCCATAAAACTAGTCAAATGGTGACCACTGGTTAGCAGGATTGGGATTAAAAAAATGTAATTGGATAACTACTGACCTTCAGAGCGGGGCTCTGCCATCCTCACACACGTGTCTATAGATACCCACAGGGATGTGGTTGATTGTTAACTGCCCTCAGTTACAAAGGCGGTCACTGATGGGCAATGCATTTTCATCATTGCCAATGGTGGGCACATCCGAGGAATGATTATTATTTACAGAAAATAGTGGGTCAAGAGCCCCTTACTGAGCTCTGATCTCTGATGTGAGGCAGGGACAGCAGGAGTGTTAGATGGATGTTCAACCAGGGGTGGAGTTGAGTGTCAGTGTCTTGAGGGATGTTATGCAGATTGAACCTCAACTCCCTTCACCAGTGACGCACAGTTGCAGCAGCGTGTACCATCTACAAGATGCCCTGCAGCGATTCACCAAAGATCCTCAGGCAGCACCTTCCAAACCCACGACCACTTCCACCGAGAAGGACAAGGGCAGCAGATACACCATCCCTTGCAAGTTCCCCTCCGAGCCACTTGCCAACCTGACTTGGAAATATATCGCCGTTCCTTTGGCATCACTGGGTCAAAATCCTGGGAATTCTCTCCCTAAGGGCATTGTGGGTCAACCCACAGCCCATGGACTGCAGCGGTTCAAGAAGGCAGCTCACCCCCACCAATTAGGGATGGATAGTAGACATGGGCCTTGACAGTAACACCCACAACCATTAAAGATTCAGAAGAAGAATCTTTCAGGAACTGAGCCATCGAAAACATTACAAAAGAGCAAGAACTCCCAGTATGATAGCTGTACTCTTTAGAGAAATGTAAATGAAGGCATGGGTGATAACCCACCAGCAGCGCTGGGGCTAGGCCTGTGATATACTTGAGGTTGATTGATCTGAGTGACAGACAATATCGAACCGATCGTCCCCACCAACTCGCAGTGGAATGGTCGATGGCTTTGTGTCGGGTTTTTCTGAAGAATGGATCAAATTCTGTGCCCAAGCAGAAAGTGAGTCGTCTTTGTGGACTCCATCTCCATTCTCCTCCAGCTCCTACAACCCTCAGAGCTCCAACCTTCCTCCCATCCTGTCCTCTTCTCATCCCTCTCTCATTAGTGACCCTGCCTTCCTCTGCCTGAGCCCTCAGCTCTGAGATTCCTGCCCTAAAACCCTGCCCTCTCCCCTCCTTTAAGACTCCAAGCAGTTGTGCCAATCTCTCTGTTATGGTGGCTCGGTTTCATCTGGTAACCCTGCCACGAAGCGTTCTGAGACTTTGCGCCGTGCTGGAGTAGCGATAGAAATGCAGGTTGTTGTTGCTGTTGAACTCTGGCTTCGATGCTAGTTGGGGTCGGGGGGAGGGAGACAGTGTCTGAGCCTGAAATGCTAGCAAGGGACATTGGGTTGGTTCCTCACCCAACCCCGATCCAAATTCTGTCTCATAAACCCGTCCCTCCCCGGCTCCCTCCTCTTCTGCAATTCCCAACAATTCCTGGGTGTCAGTTGAGCTCTGGGAAATTGCCGTTATTAGATCGGGTAACATGTGGTTACTAACTTTGCCAGTCAGTGGAGAGGAAATGACAATATCTTTCGACTTCTCCATTCGCCGCTCCCCACCACCCCACCCAACCACGGAGTCAGTCTCTCGGCCTCATGTGGCTTTATTTGCAAGTGGTTTCTCATCTCAAAACCCTCCTGACTCAAGTTGGAACTAAAAGCATGAAAGGAGCTGACCAGAGGTTTTATTTACATACCTGAGTGCTCTCAATGTTCTCTGTTAAAGCCAAAAAGGAAGTTGAGCAAGGAGGGATGTGGAGTTGTGAGAGTGAATGATATTACAGATACACACACATACGCACACAAACACACACGCACACACACACACATACACGCACACACACACGCACACACACACACACGCACACACACACACGCACACACACACGCACACACACAAACTCACACACACACGCACACACGCACACGCACACGCACAGACACACGCGCACACACACACATGCGCACACACACACACACGCACACACACACACACACACGCACACACACACACTCATACACACACACACACGCACAAACTCTCACACACACACGCGCGCGTGCACACACACACACGCACAAACTCACAC